AAAATTTCCAGTTATAAAAAAGAAAATAATAAAAAATATTAAAAACAGCACAGTTTTCCAAAAACCAGAGGATCCACTAATTTGTCTTAAACTAGAAATTGCAAATTGCAAGTGCTGCGAAGTACAACTGCATATAAATGTTCTTCGAACAAAATTATTTATGCGAGTCAATTGAAGATAATGAATAATAAAAATATAACAAATAATATGAGACATGACCCATTGTCTATATTAGAACACTTCTTATTGGGTGACAAAGTCGTAATTTTTCATTTTTGTCAAAAAGTGTCTATAGTGTGGTGAATTATGGTTTAGGTTTTTTTTAATAAATTTTCAAAAATTTCTATGTATGTGGAAAATGTAGTTGATTACCAAAGGTTACAATTTTTATTTTGAAGACTGCATGGTCTAGGAGGTGTACATTTTTTTATGGGGCAAGTTTCCAAGGGCGGGTTTTTTAGGGGCGAGTTATAAGAGATAAGGTAAGATTTATTGGTTCTCTCTTTTATAACAGAGGAACACTCTCGCGCAGGAGAGGTTCGACCCGTACAACAGTTACAAAACAACAACTGACAATATATAAAAATAAATTATTGTAAAGAAAAAATACTGGACAAACAAAACAAATGTTACTCTCATTATTCTGTAGTAATTAAGGAATAACTTAATGTACAAAAAAAAAAAAAAAAAAAAAAATAGAGAAATCAATTACAGAATATAAAGTAAAGAGATAATAAAAATGACAAAAATATAAATTTATAAGTACGGTAAATAACATAAGAATTAAATATTGGTGGTAATGTTTTTCATTAGTTCAGTTCTTTCAGTCATTGCTTTTGTTAAATATGTTTTACAATGGTTATCAAATATGTTACAAATTTCAATATTCTGGTATGCATCAAAAATATTATCTAAAAGTAAGTGGTGCCTAAATTCACATGAACCTCCTAAGAAAATGTCCCAAAAGTACATATTAATTTTACACAAGTCAGTTTTCAATTTTTCAAACATGCATTTCTTATAGAGGATAGACCTTCACAATCAAATAAAAAATGGTCGACTGTTTCTAATTCTCTTTTTTTGCAAATAATACAATGGCCCGAGTGTGTATCTGACCATGCCCGTTTTCTGCCTCCAAGATCTAGAACATTAGTTCTAGCTTCAAACTTTAAATGTGTAGGGGAGACCGGGGTCAGTTGTTACAAAACTTACATATTGTTCCTTAATTACGTAATTGAATGAGACAAACACACTATTTTTATTCTAATGCAAGAACAGTATATTGGTTATAAAACGAAGTAATTACAACTGTCATATATCAATCCGTTAATTAATCATTAATTAATTAATGAAGTAGATCAACTGTAACAAATTACCTCTGGTCCAGGGTACATTGTTACACCATGTGGGGCAAGTTGTTATATAAACTAGATAAAATGTTTAAAATATACAAACAAACATGCTTTAAAGTGTATAAAAGAGACAACAACATTATATTCTAGCCTTATGGTTAAATGTAAGACCGCACTATAATGCATTTTAGCTACTCAACAAAACAGTCAATCAGAAATGTCCATTTCTTCTTCTTTACAATGATCGCACGTGTAAAGTGCGCCTCCTTCGGTACACTCGCTATGTGACCATCCTTGTTACAGTAACAACTTACATATAACAACTTACCCCACATGCTATTTTTACATTGAAACACAGATAGTGGTAATGGCCTATGAAAGTGTTAGGTAATGGCCATGCTTCACATAAATATTTAAACTTACTTTATCCATCTACATGAGGGAAAGCTATTACACAAACGGTTTGTAATGAAAAAATTGCTTTTGGGGTATAAACACAAACATTTTACCTACATTTCCTGTCAGGCATTCGGATCGTCATGCTACGGCCGGCGGTGATGGATCTTACAGCACCCTATAATATGACACCGGTTATACCTCCCTCTACTTTTCCTATTTGGGGAAAAGACCTATAATATGACACCGGTTATACCTCCCTCTACTTCCCTATTTGGGGAAAAGACCACTGTAACAATCTACCCCTGTAACAACTGACCCCGGTTTCCCCTACCTTTAAAATTCAATTTGTCCAAAAGGTAGTATTCTAAATTTGGTATATTTTTGTATTTAATGTAATCCTTCAGTGATGATTTTTCAGTTGCTTTTTGAAACCATTCTTTATTATTGTTATCTGAGATCATATTACTAAAAGATTTTTTTTTTACTAAAAGAGTTGTCTGCCAAAGAGTGTTGCCAAAGTGCGAGCCAGCGTGTTATTTGATCACAAGTGCGAGACATCACAAGTGTGAGCCAGCGAGCCATGACGTCACGACAATAGATACGAGACGTTCATTCATTTCATTTCATTTATTTATTCGACCAATACACATTTACAAAAGGTACAGTACAACAAAAATCATGGTCAGGGGCAGCTTAAGCAAAATTTTACTATAACTCATTGAGTGTCAGCTGCCCCATAACGAGTTGTGCGAGGTATCGGCTGAGATTTGTGGAGTACAATTCAAAAAACAACTATAAGTCTAATAATGAATTATTGTGATGTTAAATAGACAATGTTAGCTATCAAGGAGCGACGTTGTTTTTCATTTTTTTCCTTTTCTTTTTTTTGTTTTTCATTGGGACCTTCGTCCCTTCAAGGCCTGTCTCTTATACACATCTAGATGTGTATAAGAGACAGTCATTCACCTCTTAACGATGTCTTTACAAAATATTTCACACAGATAATGTCAA